CCACCTGAGTCTACAGGGTGGATTTCAAAGAAATAGCTGTAGCTCAGTTCCACAAGTGACGCCTCGCCACCAGTAACTGTCATGATCATTATGCATATCCACAACACACTAGAACTTTGTGCGATATCCTATCCTCAAACTGTTTGAAGTGCTGGTCATTTATTTGCCATTCCAGTATTTATCTTATGTTTTACTCTTAGTATTTCTTTGCTATCAAGAAAACTTTTTCTTAGTTCAGTTGTTTTGAAACATTGAATTTTCTGAATATTGCTTAATCTTATTTTTTGTTGTAAGATTTATACTGTATCTTTGACTTACAATTTATTTAAAAGACATTGTATGACTTCTCTGGATGGTCTCCAGGTTCTTACAAAATTAGAGTGGGCTGGTCCCCTGATACCCACAGAAACCAGCTCAACAGTGCATCATGATCCTGGCTTTTCTGCCTGCCTCTCTAGCTTTTCCCACCTGGGACCTAATGTCATAAATGCCACCTGCTTGCAAGCCCTCATCTCAGGTTTTATCTTTTGGGGGCACCTGAGGAACATACTGACATACAAGAGATGAACAAAGAACAGATTCCTTTTTGCTTGGTCTAAGGCATTTAATATCTCTCCACTGCCTTCTACAGCACAATTTTCTATTTATCTTTTTCTTTTTGGCAATTAAGGTCATCTACAAAATGTCCATCAATTTTTTTGTAATGCATTACGATCACTATCTCTCCACAGGAACATTACTTACCTGCTGATTGTTCCTTTAATGCATTTTGTGTCTCTCCAAGTTGTACTTTGTATATGATCTTACAACTCAGAATACCACTCTTTATCCCATTTTCACACATCAGAATGTAATAAGCTTAAAGATTCTCATCAAATACTATCATGTCCTTAAATCTTTGCAAATCTATTCCTATGAAGGACTCCAATTTGTATTTGTTCCTTTGAACAGCAAGAAGGCACTGTTTGTGCTCTTTATCTTTTAATTCAGCAATAAGCTAGACTACCCATATTTTCTAAATTCTCCTAGATTCTAAGTAATATAAGCACATGAATGGATTAAGTCTAGTATTTTTCTGATACCTTAACCCATGGTATATTTGTGTATATATATCCTCTGTAGATCTATGTATTAAATGAATATAATTTCATATGTGCTTTTCACACCTTTTAAAAATTGCAATAAAGGAAAGAACATATAATTCCTTATTAAAAAAAATAAAAGACATTGTATGATATCTTCTCCTAGTATTAGAAACTTTAAAAAGTATATTTCCATTTTCTGTTGACTTAAAAAAAAAACAAAACGGGTTTGTACCTATGTTGTTTATTTATAATTTCTTGCCTATATCTTGTAATATGAGAAACTACTTTGGCAATAACAATGCACAATGTACTAACCATTATTACTCTCCTAAAATCTTGTTTTGAGATTTTGTACCATTTTTTATTTTTTTTCTTTAAAATAAAATAACTGATGTCAAAAAAAAGATAAATCAAATCATGTTATGCTAGGGACAGTGAGTTTTAGAGGGTCAGTAATACCGGGTAGAAAATATAAATTTCCAATGAATGAAGAAAGTATTTTGTCAGTGCTTATACTTGCAAGATTATGTTCCATTTTCGGGTGGATGGAGTGGGTAATATGCCCATAAGGTAAATTCTTACCAGTGTCATTGGCAATTTCATTCTCTGAGCATGGGGTGCAACCAAAACAACAGGCAGCTTTTCCTTCTTGAGGAGTTTTTCTAAATCCAGGATTGCAGGTCTCACTGCATACAGATTTGGGAACCTAATGAAAAAATATGCACATCCAGTACTAGTAAATTTTGGGAATCTATTGGTTAACTTTCAGAAATAAAAAAACAATTTATATACATGCACAAATTAAATTAC